ACCGTTCCGTCCTCACAATGCAGTGTGTTTTCAGGTTCACACAATCTCATGCCTATTGTTTCCTACATAACTAACACTACAGTGTCCTAGTAAACCGTTCTGTCCTCACAATGCAGTGTGTTTTCAGTTTAACACAATCTCATGCCTATTGTTTCCTACATAACTAACACTACAGTGTCCTAGTAAACCGTTCTGTCCTCACAATGCAGTGTTTTCAGTTTAACACAATCTCATGCCTATTGTTTCCTACATAACTAACACTACAGTGTCCTAGTAAACCGTTCTGTCCTCACAATGCAGTGTTTTCAGTTTAACACAATCTCATGCCTATTGTTTCCTACATAACTAACACTACAGTGTCCTAGTAAACCGTTCTGTCCTCACAATGCAGTGTGTTTTCAGTTTAACACAATCTCATGCCTATTGTTTCCTACATAACTAACACTACAGTGTCCTAGTAAACCGTTCTGTCCTCACAATGCAGTGTGTTTTCAGTTTAACACAATCTCATGCCTATTGTTTCCTACATAACTAACACTACAGTGTCCTAGTAAACCGTTCTGTCCTCAAAATGCAGTGTTTTCAGTTTAACACAATCTCATGCCTATTGTTTCCTACATAACTAACACACTACAGTGTCCTAGTAAACCGTTCTGTCCTCAAAATGCAGTGTTTTCAGTTTAACACAATCTCATGCCTATTGTTTCCTACATAACTAACACACTACAGTGTCCTAGTAAACCGTTCTGTCCTCAAAATGCAGTGTTTTCAGTTTAACACAATCTCATGCCTATTGTTTCCTACATAACTAACACTACAGTGTCCTAGTAAACCGTTCCGTCCTCACAATGCAGTGTGTTTTCAGTTTAACACAATCTCATGCCTATTGTTTCCTACATAACTAACACTACAGTGTCCTAGTAAACCGTTCCTTCCTCACAATGCAGTGTGTTTTCAGGTTCACACAATCTCATGCCTATTGTTTCCTACATAACTAACACTACAGTGTCCTAGTAAACCGTTCTGTCCTCACAATGCAGTGTGTTTTCAGTTTAACACAATCTCATGCCTATTGTTTCCTACATAACTAACACTACAGTGTCCTAGTAAACCGTTCTGTCCTCACAATGCAGTGTTTTCAGTTTAACACAATCTCATGCCTATTGTTTCCTACATAACTAACACTACAGTGTCCTAGTAAACCGTTCCGTCCTCACAATGCAGTGTGTTTTCAGTTTAACACAATCTCATGCCTATTGTTTCCTACATAACTAACACTACAGTGTCCTAGTAAACCGTTCTGTCCTCAAAATGCAGTGTTTTCAGTTTAACACAATCTCATGCCTATTGTTTCCTACATAACTAACACACTACAGTGTCCTAGTAAACCGTTCTGTCCTCAAAATGCAGTGTTTTCAGTTTAACACAATCTCATGCCTATTGTTTCCTACATAACTAACACACTACAGTGTCCTAGTAAACCGTTCTGTCCTCAAAATGCAGTGTTTTCAGTTTAACACAATCTCATGCCTATTGTTTCCTACATAACTAACACTACAGTGTCCTAGTAAACCGTTCCGTCCTCACAATGCAGTGTGTTTTCAGTTTAACACAATCTCATGCCTATTGTTTCCTACATAACTAACACACTACAGTGTCCTAGTAAACCGTTCTGTCCTCAAAATGCAGTGTTTTCAGTTTAACACAATCTCATGCCTATTGTTTCCTACATAACTAACACACTACAGTGTCCTAGTAAACCGTTCTGTCCTCAAAATGCAGTGTTTTCAGTTTAACACAATCTCATGCCTATTGTTTCCTACATAACTAACACACTACAGTGTCCTAGTAAACCGTTCTGTCCTCAAAATGCAGTGTTTTCAGTTTAACACAATCTCATGCCTATTGTTTCCTACATAACTAACACACTACAGTGTCCTAGTAAACCGTTCTGTCCTCAAAATGCAGTGTTTTCAGTTTAACACAATCTCATGCCTATTGTTTCCTACATAACTAACACTACAGTGTCCTAGTAAACCGTTCCGTCCTCACAATGCAGTGTGTTTTCAGTTTAACACAATCTCATGCCTATTGTTTCCTACATAACTAACACTACAGTGTCCTAGTAAACCGTTCCTTCCTCACAATGCAGTGTGTTTTCAGGTTCACACAATCTCATGCCTATTGTTTCCTACATAACTAACACTACAGTGTCCTAGTAAACCGTTCTGTCCTCACAATGCAGTGTGTTTTCAGTTTAACACAATCTCATGCCTATTGTTTCCTACATAACTAACACTACAGTGTCCTAGTAAACCGTTCTGTCCTCACAATGCAGTGTTTTCAGTTTAACACAATCTCATGCCTATTGTTTCCTACATAACTAACACTACAGTGTCCTAGTAAACCGTTCCGTCCTCACAATGCAGTGTGTTTTCAGTTTAACACAATCTCATGCCTATTGTTTCCTACATAACTAACACTACAGTGTCCTAGTAAACCGTTCCGTCCTCACAATGCAGTGTGTTTTCAGGTTCACACAATCTCATGCCTATTGTTTCCTACATAACTAACACTACAGTGTCCTAGTAAACCGTTCTGTCCTCACAATGCAGTGTGTTTTCAGTTTAACACAATCTCATGCCTATTGTTTCCTACATAACTAACACTACAGTGTCCTAGTAAACCGTTCTGTCCTCACAATGCAGTGTGTTTTCAGTTTAACACAATCTCATGCCTATTGTTTCCTACATAACTAACACTACAGTGTCTTAGTAAACCGTTCCGTCCTCACAATGCAGTGTGTTTTCAGTTTAACACAATCTCATGCCTATTGTTTCCTACATAACTAACACTACAGTGTCCTAGTAAACCGTTCTGTCCTCACAATGCAGTGTGTTTTCAGTTTAACACAATCTCATGCCTATTGTTTCCTACATAACTAACACTACAGTGTCCTAGTAAACCGTTCTGTCCTCACAATGCAGTGTTTTCAGTTTAACACAATCTCATGCCTATTGTTTCCTACATAACTAACACTACAGTGTCTTAGTAAACCGTTCCGTCCTCACAATGCAGTGTGTTTTCAGGTTCACACAATCTCATGCCTATTGTTTCCTACATAACTAACACTACAGTGTCCTAGTAAACCGTTCTGTCCTCACAATGCAGTGTGTTTTCAGTTTAACACAATCTCATGCCTATTGTTTCCTACATAACTAACACTACAGTGTCCTAGTAAACCGTTCTGTCCTCACAATGCAGTGTTTTCAGTTTAACACAATCTCATGCCTATTGTTTCCTACATAACTAACACTACAGTGTCCTAGTAAACCGTTCTGTCCTCACAATGCAGTGTTTTCAGTTTAACACAATCTCATGCCTATTGTTTCCTACATAACTAACACTACAGTGTCCTAGTAAACCGTTCTGTCCTCACAATGCAGTGTGTTTTCAGTTTAACACAATCTCATGCCTATTGTTTCCTACATAACTAACACTACAGTGTCCTAGTAAACCGTTCTGTCCTCAAAATGCAGTGTGTTTTCAGTTTAACACAATCTCATGCCTATTGTTTCCTACATAACTAACACACTACAGTGTCCTAGTAAACCGTTCTGTCCTCAAAATGCAGTGTTTTCAGTTTAACACAATCTCATGCCTATTGTTTCCTACATAACTAACACACTACAGTGTCCTAGTAAACCGTTCTGTCCTCAAAATGCAGTGTTTTCAGTTTAACACAATCTCATGCCTATTGTTTCCTACATAACTAACACACTACAGTGTCCTAGTAAACCGTTCTGTCCTCAAAATGCAGTGTTTTCAGTTTAACACAATCTCATGCCTATTGTTTCCTACATAACTAACACACTACAGTGTCCTAGTAAACCGTTCTGTCCTCAAAATGCAGTGTTTTCAGTTTAACACAATCTCATGCCTATTGTTTCCTACATAACTAACACTACAGTGTCCTAGTAAACCGTTCTGTCCTCACAATGCAGTGTGTTTTCAGTTTAACACAATCTCATGCCTATTGTTTCCTACATAACTAACACTACAGTGTCCTAGTAAACCGTTCCTTCCTCACAATGCAGTGTTTTCAGTTTAACACAATCTCATGCCTATTGTTTCCTACATAACTAACACTACAGTGTCCTAGTAAACCGTTCTGTCCTCACAATGCAGTGTGTTTTCAGTTTAACACAATCTCATGCCTATTGTTTCCTACATAACTAACACTACAGTGTCCTAGTAAACCGTTCTGTCCTCAAAATGCAGTGTTTTCAGTTTAACACAATCTCATGCCTATTGTTTCCTACATAACTAACACTACAGTGTCCTAGTAAACCGTTCTGTCCTCACAATGCAGTGTTTTCAGTTTAACACAATCTCATGCCTATTGTTTCCTACATAACTAACACTACAGTGTCCTAGTAAACCGTTCTGTCCTCACAATGCAGTGTGTTTTCAGTTTAACACAATCTCATGCCTATTGTTTCCTACATAACTAACACTACAGTGTCCTAGTAAACCGTTCTGTCCTCACAATGCAGTGTGTTTTCAGTTTAACACAATCTCATGCCTATTGTTTCCTACATAACTAACACTACAGTGTCCTAGTAAACCGTTCCTTCCTCACAATGCAGTGTGTTTTCAGTTTAACACAATCTCATGCCTATTGTTTCCTACATAACTAACACACTACAGTGTCCTAGTAAACCGTACCGTCCTCACAATGTAGTGTTTTCAGTTTAACACAATATCATGCCTATTGTTTCCTACATAACTAACACACTACAGTGTCCTAGTAAACCGTTCCGTCCTCACAATGCAGTGTGTTTTCAGGTTCACACAGTGCTTGGCTCTACATCAAGTCTCTATATCAACTTTCCACTTTGTAGATGTATAATAAGCACACTTGACTATAATGAACATACATTAATCAAAAAAATACACCTAGAATAAATGTTAATGTCTCTTACAAAACTACACAATACCTGTTCTGCACTTGCTTCTGCCAAACAGGGAGTTTTGTCTGCAACATCTGTATTCATCTGTAAAGGAGAGAATGAAAATAAATACCGTTGTAGACATTTGCTGGAGATAAAGAAGCTGCTACTGTGTCGTCAGTTTAACAATCTCATGCCTATTGTTTCCTACATAACTAACACTACAGTGTCCTAGTAAACCGTTCTGTCCTCACAATGCAGTGTGTTTTCAGTTTAACACAATCTCATGCCTATTGTTTCCTACATAACTAACACTACAGTGTCCTAGTAAACCGTTCTGTCCTCACAATGCAGTGTTTTCAGTTTAACAATCTCATGCCTATTGTTTCCTACATAACTAACACTACAGTGTCCTAGTAAACCGTTCTGTCCTCACAATGCAGTGTGTTTTCAGTTTAACACAATCTCATGCCTATTGTTTCCTACATAACTAACACTACAGTGTCCTAGTAAACCGTTCCGTCCTCACAATGCAGTGTGTTTTCAGTTTAACACAATCTCATGCCTATTGTTTCCTACATAACTAACACTACAGTGTCCTAGTAAACCGTTCTGTCCTCACAATGCAGTGTGTTTTCAGTTTAACACAATCTCATGCCTATTGTTTCCTACATAACTAACACTACAGTGTCCTAGTAAACCGTTCTGTCCTCACAATGCAGTGTGTTTTCAGTTTAACACAATCTCATGCCTATTGTTTCCTACATAACTAACACTACAGTGTCCTAGTAAACCGTTCTGTCCTCAAAATGCAGTGTTTTCAGTTTAACACAATCTCATGCCTATTGTTTCCTACATAACTAACACTACAGTGTCCTAGTAAACCGTTCTGTCCTCACAATGCAGTGTGTTTTCAGTTTAACACAATCTCATGCCTATTGTTTCCTACATAACTAACACTACAGTGTCCTAGTAAACCGTTCCGTCCTCACAATGCAGTGTGTTTTCAGGTTCACACAGTGCTTGGCTCTACATCAAGTCTCTATATCAACTTTCCACTTTGTAGATGTATAATAAGCACACTTGACTATAATGAACATACATTAATCAAAAAAATACACCTAGAATAAATGTTAATGTCTCTTACAAAACTACACAATACCTGTTCTGCACTTGCTTCTGCCAAACAGGGAGTTTTGTCTGCAACATCTGTATTCATCTGTAAAGGAGAGAATGAAAATAAATACCGTTGTAGACATTTGCTGGAGATAAAGAAGCTGCTACTGTGTCGTCAGTTTAACAATCTCATGCCTATTGTTTCCTACATAACTAACACTACAGTGTCCTAGTAAACCGTTCTGTCCTCACAATGCAGTGTTTTCAGTTTAACACAATCTCATGCCTATTGTTTCCTACATAACTAACACTACAGTGTCCTAGTAAACCGTTCCTTCCTCACAATGCAGTGTGTTTTCAGTTTAACACAATCTCATGCCTATTGTTTCCTACATAACTAACACTACAGTGTCCTAGTAAACCGTTCTGTCCTCACAATGCAGTGTTTTCAGTTTAACACAATCTCATGCCTATTGTTTCCTACATAACTAACACACTACAGTGTCCTAGTAAACCGTTCTGTCCTCACAATGCAGTGTTTTCAGTTTAACACAATCTCATGCCTATTGTTTCCTACATAACTAACACTACAGTGTCCTAGTAAACCGTTCCGTCCTCACAATGCAGTGTTTTCAGTTTAACACAATCTCATGCCTATTGTTTCCTACATAACTAACACTACAGTGTCCTAGTAAACCGTTCTGTCCTCACAATGCAGTGTTTTCAGTTTAACACAATCTCATGCCTATTGTTTCCTACATAACTAACACTACAGTGTCCTAGTAAACCGTTCTGTCCTCACAATGCAGTGTGTTTTCAGTTTAACACAATCTCATGCCTATTGTTTCCTACATAACTAACACTACAGTGTCCTAGTAAACCGTTCCGTCCTCACAATGCAGTGTTTTCAGTTTAACACAATCTCATGCCTATTGTTTCCTACATAACTAACACTACAGTGTCCTAGTAAACCGTTCTGTCCTCACAATGCAGTGTTTTCAGTTTAACACAATCTCATGCCTATTGTTTCCTACATAACTAACACTACAGTGTCCTAGTAAACCGTTCTGTCCTCACAATGCAGTGTTTTCAGTTTAACACAATCTCATGCCTATTGTTTCCTACATAACTAACACTACAGTGTCCTAGTAAACCGTTCTGTCCTCACAATGCAGTGTTTTCAGTTTAACACAATCTCATGCCTATTGTTTCCTACATAACTAACACTACAGTGTCCTAGTAAACCGTTCCGTCCTCACAATGCAGTGTGTTTTCAGGTTCACACAATCTCATGCCTATTGTTTCCTACATAACTAACACTACAGTGTCCTAGTAAACCGTTCTGTCCTCACAATGCAGTGTGTTTTCAGTTTAACACAATCTCATGCCTATTGTTTCCTACATAACTAACACTACAGTGTCCTAGTAAACCGTTCTGTCCTCACAATGTAGTGTGTTTTCAGTTTAACACAATCTCATGCCTATTGTTTCCTACATAACTAACACACTACAGTGTCCTAGTAAACCGTTCCGTCCTCACAATGCAGTGTGTTTTCAGTTTAACACAATCTCATGCCTATTGTTTCCTACATAACTAACACTACAGTGTCCTAGTAAACCGTTCCGTCCTCACAATGCAGTGTTTTCAGTTTAACACAATCTCATGCCTATTGTTTCCTACATAACTAACACTACAGTGTCCTAGTAAACCGTTCTGTCCTCACAATGCAGTGTGTTTTCAGTTTAACACAATCTCATGCCTATTGTTTCCTACATAACTAACACTACAGTGTCCTAGTAAACCGTTCCTTCCTCACAATGCAGTGTTTTCAGTTTAACACAATCTCATGCCTATTGTTTCCTACATAACTAACACTACAGTGTCCTAGTAAACCGTTCCTTCCTCACAATGCAGTGTTTTCAGTTTAACACAATCTCATGCCTATTGTTTCCTACATAACTAACACTACAGTGTCCTAGTAAACCGTTCCGTCCTCACAATGCAGTGTTTTCAGTTTAACACAATCTCATGCCTATTGTTTCCTACATAACTAACACTACAGTGTCCTAGTAAACCGTTCCTTCCTCACAATGCAGTGTGTTTTCAGTTTAACACAATCTCATGCCTATTGTTTCCTACATAACTAACACACTACAGTGTCCTAGTAAACCGTTCCGTCCTCACAATGCAGTGTGTTTTCAGGTTCACACAGTGCTTGGCTCTACATCAAGTCTCTATATCAACTTTCCACTTTGTAGATGTATAATAAGCACACTTGACTATAATGAACATACATTAATCAAAAAAATACACCTAGAATAAATGTTAATGTCTCTTACAAAACTACACAATACCTGTTCTGCACTTGCTTCTGCCAAACAGGGAGTTTTGTCTGCAACATCTGTATTCATCTGTAAAGGAGAGAATGAAAATAAATACCGTTGTAGACATTTGCTGGAGATAAAGAAGCTGCAGGATAAAAACAATAACAAATGTAGATGTTGTAAGTCTGATTGTGGCAAAAAACTGAAACTACGTCTTGAACATCTTTGCCTACAATACAAAACTTTACTGTTTCTATTCTATTTTTTATATGGTCATAATGTAAAATGAACACCTGCATATAAAAATACTCACATAAGCACAAACACTACAGTTGAATAGTTTTGTAACCTCAATTTTGTACTGTTTACATTTATTGTTGAAGTTATTCATTTAAAACATGAATTAAATAAACCTTATTTTTATTTAACTGGGTTGAAGCAACCTTATTTAAAAAAATATGAACAATTCTTGTTTTAGGGATATAGCAAATAAGGAAAACTGAACAAGAACACTACAAGGTCCGCTAAAAATCAATATCAACAAATTTTCAGACCACTGAAGCAAAGTTTGATGTAAAGGAAATCTTTCTTCATGTAAATGTTATTCAGACATCCAAGCTGTGACAGTAATGTTACTCTGTAAAATAATTAATATAAAGACAAATGTGTACACAACAACAATCCTACATTGTCTAGATTCTTTGAAAATACTTCTAGAAAATGCTCTATTGCATATTGGGGGAGAACATTCTTTACCTGGGATCTCCACGGCCATTCTGATGGTCCGTAGTTGTAGGTGACTTCTTCCCCAGGAAAAATATCCAAAATAGCAAAAAGGCACAAGTGTGGGCTGTTATTGAATGTTACAACCTTCATTTTGCAGTTAGGTTTGTTACTGTCATTTACAAGCCTTCCCAGACTGCCATCCTCCTCCGATGCATCCATGCTGCATAAAAAAGGTCCATATCATTATAAATAAAATGACAAATAGTAGAACATGACAATGGTGTTTGAAAATTAACATGTACGAACTTCATCTACTGGATAAAGAAACAAAAAAATTAGAGATGCACCAATTACAATTTTCTAGGCCGATTCCGATTTCTCTGAGTTTGACCTGCCGATACCGATTTTAGCCGATTCCCTTTTTGTTTTGTTTTTATAAAACAATATACTTTACACAAACCGAATAATAAAAAAAGGTCAAACACACTAGACATACAAATTCTGTTCATGTTTGAGCACTTTTTGTGTGAAATCATATTTATTTTGTCCATCAAAAGTGTGCTTTCACTTTAACTGAGCGTGAGAAGCGCAACACAAATAGACTCGGCGCCGAAACCCCACTTCAATGCTGCTCATGCGACACTCCTGCTTGACACTCACGCGCTGCTCCTGCTCCCGGTGTGAACATACTCATTGATTAACATGCATGCCGAAAATGTCAGACTGATAACGTGAAAATCGGCCAAATCCGGTCACCAACCGATCAATCGGTGCATCTCTAAAAAAATTTACTCTAAACATGTTGAACATTGGCCCTGTCCCAAATGGCACCCTAAACCCTTGCGGTCATCCTCAGAGTCCACACTTTCATGATGTAATTC